TTAGCAGCGTCGGATCTCCAATTCCCCGTCATGATGTGTCATCCTGCGGGCCTTTGACTGAGCAAACCTTTTCAAGATCAAGCAATCAACTGGAGCGCCACTAGCAGGCACCAAGCGCTCACCAGTCCGCGCAAGAGGCAAATTGCTTTAGAAAAGGATCGGCACTTGTTATATCGTGTTATTGTCTCAAATGTGGAGCGCATACACTTGACAACAAATAAAGCCTCCTGCATTGCCTGTCAGTCTGCCTCGCTAGCATTGATCTCAGACTACAACATTGAATCCTATACAGCCTATACATGTCATTCAACATCGCTTCTGTCCACTTGAATGTCTGCCATGGCAGGACGTTGATACATGCTCCTACAATGTACGGAGCACATAATTAATCACATGTGGTTTGTGACGAAGTTCTTCCTTAATATATATATATATATCCTGGCACCTCTATCCTAGAAAGTCGGGTCATTTGATCGCTTGTCTTGATGCCTATTTAGCTGGACAAGTAAATCAAGTCATGATCCAAGGCCCACTTGCAAGGCCTCTCAGAAAGATCGTCAAGTCTAAAGGTCCTCATCTGCTGTTAGCAGCGTCGGATCTCCAATTCCCCGTCATGATGTGTCATCCTGCAGGCCTTTGACTGAGCAACCACAAACCTTTTCAAGATCAAGCAATCAACTGGAGCGCCACTAGCAGGCACCAAGTGCTCACCAGTCCGCGCAAGAGACAAATTGCTTTAGAAAAGGATTGGCACTTGTTATATCTTGATATTGTCTCAAATGTGGAGCGCATACATATGACAACAAACAAAGTCTCCTGCATTGCCTGTCAGTCTGCCTCGCTAGCATGTACATGTCATACATTTCGCGATGTTCACATGGCATGTCCCGTCTATCCTTTTAATGGCCACCGAAACACAGCTGGGTCTCGTGCATCTTGACCCGTGAAGTTCATCAATGACGCGAGTGTCCACCTGCCCACGAATGACACACGGCACGGCGTTCTCGCAAGAAAGCCACTTCCTCTTCGCCGAGCGTTTCTCGTAGGCAGGACGTTTTCAGTCAGCAGTCGGCTGTCAGAAGCGTTTCATTTCGTGCGAGTACAGAATCCAAGGAAAACAAACAAACAAACAAACAAGCAAGAAAGCAAGCAAGCAAGCAAATAAAACCACCATTGAAAAGATAAGCCGTGTAATTATTTATTGAACCTTGCTCTCTTCATCCTGAATTCATCTTTGCTTTGGCGTCATGCCTTCATCGGCTTTTTCGGTCAATCGCTGGTGAGTGGCCTAGCCAGCAGCTTCGCCTCAGCTCAAGAGGGAATGAATTGCTGAATGAAAGCAAGCAGAGATCAAAACCAATACAAAAGAGCCAAATATCTCAACTACATCATTCCAAATCAACCCTGAAGATTGCCAAGCAGAATTTGTACAAAGAACATCAAAAGAACTAATTATATAAGGGTGTTTTTATCCATCAACCATCCTGGGTCTGAACTCAACGGTTCCACAAAGAAATCCGGCTCCCGGATGATGCGCGGCCCGAAGACTGGCAAGACTGATGATAAACGCTATGGACACTTATATATATATATATGGGTTGAGTCTATCCTCTTACCTGTAACAGTGGATGATGATGGTGAGTAAATGCCTTGTCAGAGGTGAAGTGACCTTATGGGTTAAGCGACCGTAAATAGGACCCGTAACCTGGGGTACCTATGGGATAGTCTAGTTCGGGTTCTTCAACCTCTGCTGGTATATGGGACATGTATGTTCACACCACACGGACACCCTATGGACCACTGTTCACAGTGAATACAGCAGCTTCTTCCAAGAAGCCGGAGCATGAAGAGCACGAAGCCATCTGCGCGATGAAACGCTTCAACAAGACTCATGACTCATCGCGCGATGGACTCAGATGAAATAAAAGGACTCATAACAAGTCATAAGACGTCACAAGGACCCCAAGGTCAACCTAGGTCTGCCAAGCCCAAACAATTGCCTATCTGCTGTAGTTAATTAGTCGTTCTCTTCTCTTCTTCCAGACATCTTCGCACCTTGTGAGTTTCGCAGCCTTTAAGTTGTTGCATGGTCATCATGGTCAATGACCCTCTGGGCCTCCTCGTCGGAACCATACCTTGGTGAGGACCCCAAGCTGATGCAGCTGATGCACTTCATGCTTCCTCTTGTGTTGTCCTACCCAAGAAATCTTCACAATGCACCTGGAATTCCCGCTGCTTTCCCACATCTTCCTACACGACTCGCGCCCTTTTTCGGCACAGGATGTTGAGATCGGTTAATGTTATCGCTTTTCTCCGATCGTCAAACCACGACAAGTATCTGCGAAACCCGCCTTCATATCTGCGTGATGATTCAGCAAAGGCTCCAGTGCAATATGTTCCGGCGATATCCGGCGATCTTGTCTTTGGTGCTTCAGGTTTCTTCTGCTGATTGAAATGCCACTCGACTATTATTTCTTCTGTTGGACAGTCGACTGCCAAGCTGACTCTGGTCTTGGAGTGCATTCCCGAAAGCGTGCTGACTCAGGTCTTTTCGCCTGCAAAATTTGGGGTCTCCGTGGGGAAACCCCGGAACATCACCGACGGTACGGGCCGATTCTGAAGTCCCGAAAGTCCCGACGAGCCCGAGCCAGCTGGGCTGCTCGAAGTCTTCATCCCAGTACAGCCTGGGTGGTGCCACGCAGGAAGCGCCGAGCTGGGACCGCTGGGAACGGGGGTGGACCTGCCGCTTCTTGGCGTCCTTACTAATAGTAGCTTCTTGTTCCTAGTAGTAAGGCCAGGAGCTACTAGAAGTGTCTTTGCTCCTAGTAGCGATGCGAGGAGCCCCTAGTAGCTTCTTGTTCCGTAGCGATGCCGCGATGCCCTTGAAGTACGAACGTAGCAGAAAACGGCCGTGAAAACAGGCCGTTCTGGCAAAAGAATCTGAGATGGAGACACGGATTCGTGGATGTTACGATCTCCGAAACGAAACCACCACCTCAACGGACGAAGCAGATGGGTTGGATCTGTCGGACTGTCGTCTCTCAACAGAAAGAGCTGATTTACATCTGCCCATTTCCATGCCCTGCGCAATGCCGTGCGAGCTCGGCCGCGCACGAGAAAATGTGATGGCTCGCATCTGGCGCGAGGCGCATAGCAAAGTGCACCTGCATGCTGAAAGAGCCAGGCAGGGATCATTAAATATACACATATAAATTGTGAAAAGGTCATAGGGTGTTCAAGCAGTTTTGAAGCTTCGCACCTTGTATGCCACTGTATGCTTTTCAATCCGACAAAAACGATCAATCCATACCCCAGACCGGTGCCTCCACACCACGAATGAGGTGTCCTTCTCGCAAAAGGTTGGGTGCTTTGGCCAACGGTGTGCGAGCAATCAAACGCCTGAAGGCCACTGCAGAAAGGAGAGTGAAAGGAGACCAGTGAGCAGGCTTATACTCATGCTTGACACCTCTTTTTGAGTAGGGTGAAATTGGTGAAATATAGAAAATAATACAAAACAAAATCCAAGAGAGTGTCTGTAAGTTGGCTGGGTTCTAAAAACAACTTATCTTCATTCATGATGGTGAATGTCGAATGAAAACTCCGATTTTCTGTGTCAAAAACAGCTCCAATCCGGCTTCAAACTGCTCCAATCCGCCGCTCGGAGCGGTCGCGGTCGCAGCGGTCTTCGTGGTTTTCACCCGTCGAGCCCGTCGACCGATGGATCCTGCCTGGCGTCAAAGTTGATCTCCCGGACAGCTATCTCCTTAGGATCTGTCGTGAAAAGCGGTGCGTGCCGCGTCATCCCGTCCAAAAACCGCTGCCGCATTAGCGCTGAAACTGGAGAATGAGTGTAGACAAGA